AATTTTCGGTTAGAAACGATTTTCAATTGATGATATCCATATGTCATTATGTTTGCGACTGCAGGAAAAAAATCTTACTCACCATTTTTAAGAATGTCGATTCTTTATTTGGTTAACAGGCAAAATTATGCTCTGAACCCGGACTTCGTTCATGCAGTAACATTGAAGTTTTTTAATATTTTTTAACATTCGGCCTGTTGGGCGCTAAGCGTTATTTGACTGTAGTATTGCGTATTGTTTTCAAACGTACGTGGCGTTGAAGTCTTTTAATATTTTTTAACATTAGGCATGTTGGGCGCTAATCGTTATTTGACTGTAGTGTTGCGTATAGTTTTTGAACGTACGTTAACAGCTTATCCCGTACTGCATTTGAAGGTTCGCTGATATAACTAATTTTCATTGTGTTTTTCAACACCGCAGCGATCGGCATCGTTACGTCGAGGGTGCGAACCAAGGGTGCGGACCGAGGGAAAGAACCAAAGCAACAATACAAAGGAAGGAAAGAAGGGAGCGAACCGAGGGAGCGAACCGATCGAAGGAACAAACCGACCTACCAACCCATGTATTGAACCGAGGAAACGAACCGATGAAATGTAGCGATAAATATTTGTCGGCGTTGACAATGAACACATGAACCACGAAATGATTTGTTGTCACGCAATACAAGACAGCGACAGCTGACTGTGCTCCCTAGGGACCGCTGGTAATTAGTGTACAATGCCTTGGTTAGTAAACATCTCTTGGTCTTGTGTATATACTAGGAATGTGAGGGCCTAGTTATACGGTCAACATTGGACTAGGTGCGCGTGTTTTAAGTTTAGAGTGAAACAATTAATTGAAACTTATTTCATGAATAAATGCTTCTATTTGCTTTGATATATTCCATTAGAATTTCGTCTTTTTCAATTTGCTCTATACTTTTTTCTACCAAGATTCATCTGAAATAGATTTTTATGTAATTTCAGCAAACTCCAAAGAGAGGCATTAACTTTTATTTTCAATAAATGATGTTTTGGAAATTCATTATATGTCAAAAAGATGAGTTTATTGACAATTTTTTCAATATGCATTTCATAAATTTTAATGAAATTTAAAAGATTATCATTACAATTTTTAAACAACAATCTGTTTCAAATATTTCCATATCTAGTCTAGCTGCTTGTTAACATCAAATAATATACGTCAGGCATTGAAAAAATCACTAATTATGCAACACTACAAACAATGACGTTGTTGACGATGGTTGTGAAATTATAAGCCAATTTTAATTCACAATACGATGTGATGCAATTGCTTTTTAACATTTTTTTGCTTCAAATTTTATTGCTTCAAAGGCTATTTTATGTTTTAAAGGAAGTTTCAACGTTTCAGTCCTCTTTTAAAAACATTTTTGTGCGTATCAAAATTGTCTCACAAGTGCATCAAAAATTGTAGTATTTGTATCTTAATAAAATGTTATGGCTCTCTCTCCCTCGATCCATAGTGATTCTATACGCATGTTTTTCGCAACTCAATCTGGTCAAGCAGAAGGAAGATGGCGCAGCTCATCAAAAATTAATCTGTTTCGCTCACATATTTTGGCGAATTGGCGAACTATGGCTCACCTTCAGAATTAAATGAGACTGTATCCATCGATGACAAACCCAACTAATCATCAAATCACTGCGCACTTGAATAAGGCCAGATAGATAACAATGAAGAAATATCCACGATCTTTATGCTTGAAATGAAGAACTTAGATTTCGGCAAGAGTATAAAACATGACTGAACACCTGCACTTTTCCGTAGGCAATCAAAGGTAACAAATAAAGAATGACTAATATATTCCAAGCAGGGATATGTAAGGTATTTGTGAGCAACATTAGTAGCAAGATGTCTGCACGACTAAATGAACTATCTAAAGGTGAAGAAAATTAAATATAATATAAGAACCTAAATTGGATGCAATTGCGTGCGTCTAATCTCGGTTAAATGACCAGGCGTTAATATATTGCTACTAATTGTATAAACGTGTACCTCGTTGTCGTAAAGTGTCTTGTCCGGCACGTCAGATAGCACTATATTAACATGAAAGAGTTCGGGCGTGTGAAAACGCTCTAAATTTCATTCATTATCCTGCAGAAAAGATATGTAAATAGAGCAACATAAGCTTTGCGAAATTTCGGTTATCATGATAACGATGCAGTACTTGTTACATAATTGCAGCATTTAACGTTAATTATAAAGATGATTGGCCTTATTTGGGACTATTTATTAGAACATGATTATGCTGTAATCATAGAAGCGTTTGATCTTCAGGATTATCAATAAGATTAGTTAAGTTTACGTGTAACTTGACTTTGATTTGTTATGACATTTTCTCTACTCACTGTAACCATTGTTGCATGCGGTCACTGGGCAATAATGACAAGCTCTGCATATAATAATTCATTTGTTACGTACTTTTGTGTGCTTCATTATTGAATTTTTAATAAAATCTCGCCAAAAAGTGGACAATGCAAATTCTTTTAGCACGAATGATACAGCAATTTCTATTAATTTGCGTTTCATTTATTTAAACAAACATTTTAGGTGAGAGCACAGAGCAGATCTTTCTTGGCAAGAAAAATTGCGACTGTGAACAGTACAATTTAAGTCTTACGGTCGCTCACAATCTACTTATGAGAAAAATTCGCGGCAAAAGAGACGATTTCGAATGTAAAGAATGCAAAAATGGAGAAAATTATTAATCATTCTACTGCTTGCTGTTCAAAACGGAGAAAGAAGTACTTCGGAAACCATGCAAAACTCACCACATGAATTTTAATTTAAATTTAATTTAAATTTTTTTATTTAAATTTTTAATTTAAATAAAATTTAAAAGCTGCTGTTTTCAACCAAGAATTTATCCATTAAATGATGAAGCATTGAAATTGGTCGGCTCCAATGGACGTCGTAGAAGAAAATTGTTCGAATTTTGATGCCTGCATGTGAATCAAGTGAATGATTAGGTACAGGAGATGCAGTGTCGAATCCAAGATGGAACACGTGCGAAGAAACTTACTTTCTTCAAGGATTATTCATATTTCCGATATATTCGAATGATCTAAAATATTTTATAATCTTTCAATTCAGATTTTAAGATTAACATTAAAAATAAACTTTGTAGACAAAAAAGTACTACCCAAACACTTATTTAAAAAATGAACTCATCATTTCTTAAAGGTATTGACATAAACGACGGCAGTCTGCTGCAGGGCGACATCGTTGCGACAACTCGTTGCTTTTACGGGGAATTTCCCCAATAATGGAATGGAGCTTCCAAGATTTCTCTGCAGTAAACAATAAAGTTCCGGGCACAAAAAAAAAATATATTTCCCCAGGCCACAAAACGCGATAACATAGCATCGGGAGTGAAGGACTTCCGGGAAAATAGGCGACGGAAGAAATTTTCTGCCCTGAAGCTACTAATGTTGATAACATTGGAGCTACTTGCACCATATTTTTCTTATATAACTTCCATTATTTAGTGCAGTTACATCGATTTAGGTAAATTTCTTCATGCATAATTATGAATAATATAAATGAATCGCTTTAATTCAAATGATTTATTCAAGTAAGCATTGTCTACGTAGCTAGATCGTGCTGCTTGATACGCTTGCCGACCGTGCTGATCGAGGGACAAGCCCGCTTCCACTATGCAAGACATGGTCTTTAGGGCATCTAAGTTTCACAATGACTCATGCGAAATGCAATAAAATTGAATGATGTAGTATGAAATATTATTAATAACAATATGAAACTATATATAGTATGAAATAATAATAATAGGAAATGATATATTGTGAGACGCTCCGTTGTTGAAAGTAGGTTTGTATTCATATGTTCTAGTTTGAAAATCATCTCTGAAGACTGGATAATTAACATCAATCAAATTTTTTTTTATTAGTAGAGTTCAGCCAAAATGACAATTAGTATTTTTGACTAGTCTCAAAACTAAATTGACACCACTGACACGTTTGCATCATTACCCCATTTGCATTACTATTGACCCATTAATTAGATTGCTATTAACCCATATGTGTCTTGATTAGCCTATTTTCATCACTATTGCCTCATTTTTATCGCTATTGACCCACTTTCATCTCCGTTGGCTCATTTTCATCGCTGTTGACTCATTTTTATCACTGTTGAGTCATTTTCTTCACTGTTGACCTATATTCATCACTGTTAACTCATTTTCTTCACTATTGGCCCATTTTCATCACTACTGACCCATTTTCATCACTGTTCACTCATTTTCATCACTATTGACCCACTTTCATCACTATCGACCCATTTTCATCACTATTGACCCATTTTCATCACTGTTGACTCATTTTCATCACTTTAACATTAGGAATTATGGTCTCGTTTTCAAGTGGTGCCGCCGCTCGCACCTATATCGCCCAGTAATTCTACCAAACGGAAACATTTCCCCTGTCCATCCTCTGCTTCTCACTTTGCAAGGACAAACATTTTCCTGAGCTTTTATCGGAGTCCCAACGAGCACAATTCCAATTTGTGGAAACACAGCCGAGCTCACGAAAATCTATCACAAAACTTCCACTAAATTTGCCCACCTTTGAAGTTGATTCTTTCGTGTGATGAAATATTTCATTGGCCGGTTCAGTTTTGAGTGTTTGTTTCATCAAAATACATCGCCCTGAATTCATTAAAATACACCGCCTGTTAAATTATAAGCGTTTCGTGCTAATGTTGACCGGTTGTCAATGAAAAATACGTATGATGTCTATAGAAATTATTTTTGTTAATTATGTCAAAATTACTTGTTTATATGTTGTGAAAAGTATTTTTTTTTATTTATGATCTTAAAAACAATCTACAATCACTGAGAAATATCGATTTTTTGTTCCGTATTTATCTTTTGAAAATAGAATTAACACTGACTAATACACAATTTTCCTAATAAGTTAAGGCCATGTTGTCAAATTTAGCTTTAAGTATACGCGGCGGTCTAAATGCACTTATCGTCCGACTTCTCGTCTGTGATTGGTAGCTTAATTAGCTTGAACGGCTGTCAGTGATTGCCTGATCATCTATTTGCTGCATATTGTTAGTGCGCACCCTGTTCATGCACGACTACTCATAGACCCGAGATTTACAATAACTGCAGGTCTATTGCGTTTATGAGTGTTAATCGTAGATCTTCATCTCGTGTAACTCATACCCATGGGCTACATAATATAACATTGGTTATAAACATAACATAACATCTCGTGTAACTCATACCCATGGGCTACATAATATAACATTGGTTATAAACATAACATAACATCTCGTGTAACTCATACTCATGGGCTACATAACATAACATGGGTTATAAACATATAACATGTCGTGTAACTCATACTCATGGGTTAAGTAACACAACATGGGTTATTAACATATCAATTTTGTAACCTAAATATTGTTTTAAATTTAAAGACAATAACTTTTGAAGTTTTCAAAAAGATTGATCGCAAATTTTGTCTGCAGTTGCAGTACGTCATTTGAGGGGCGAATTGCGCGGATCTCATCTGCCCCTCTTTTGTGCCCAACACGTCACTCCTCCGCCCCTCCTCCGCCCCCGTTTTGCGCCCAACACGTCACTCCTCCGCCCCTCCTCCACCCCCGTTTTGTGCCCAACACGTCACCCCTCCGCCCCTCCTCCGCCTCCGTTTTGTGCCCAACACGTCGCCCATCAGCCCCCGTTTTGTGCTCAACACACCGCCCATCAGACCGCGTTTTGTGCCCAACACGTCGCCCATCCGCCCCCGTTTTGTGCCAACACGTCACCCATCCGCCCCCGTTTTGTGCTCAACACACCGCCCATCAGACCGCGTTTTGTGCCCAACACGTCGCCCATCAGCCCCCGTTTTGTGCTCAACACACCGCTTCCGCCCCCGTTTTGTGCCCAACACGTCACTCCTCCGCCCCTCCTCCACCCCCGTTTTGTGCCCAACACGTCGCCCCTCCGCCCCTCCTCCGCCTCCGTTTTGTGCCCAACACGTCGCCCATCAGCCCCCGTTTTGTGCTCAACACACCGCCCATCAGACCGCGTTTTGTGCCCAACACGTCGCCCATCCGCCCCCGTTTTGTGCCAACACGTCACCCATCCGCCCCCGTTTTGTGCTCAACACACCGCCCATCAGACCGCGTTTTGTGCCCAACACGTCGCCCATCAGCCCCCGTTTTGTGCTCAACACACCGCCCATCAGACCGCGTTTTGTGCCCAACACGTCGCCCATCAGCCCCCGTTTTGTGCTCAACACACCGCTCATCAGCCCCCGTTTTGTGCTCAACACACCGCCCATCCGCCCCCGTTTTGTGCCAACACGTCACCCCTCCCCCTCCCGTGTTGTCCCCAACACGTCGCCCCTCCGCCCCGGTTTTGTGCCCAACACGGCAATACGTCGATCATATTTAAATTTTTTCCTGTTGGACGCCCGTTCGTTCAGAAGATAAAATGGCGTTGCCCACGACTCTTGAAATATTCAGACTGCTGATGCTGAACATGACGACAGTCAGCACGCCTGTGCAATGCCATGCATTTTTGAAATTAAAAATCTCACACTCTCAATTCCCTGGACGGGGAATTGTTTAACTTATATGCCTCATTCAAGTAGTTAAATTGTTATTGTTTTATCAAATTTCAGTGTTGTAACTGTTAAAAATTATTATACTCCTCCGGCCGATCGAGTTCGTGATGAAGGAATCTTCCGACCGATTTTCTCGGGAACCTGTGAAGATCCAGGAATGATTCTTCGCACTAACGTTTGTTGGAAATCCGCGATCAAGTGAAGGTGAAGCGGCTGATTAATGTTGAATTATACACTTCACAACGAAGAATGGACGTACTATCCAGGATTCGCTAAAGTATACGTAACGGCCTAAGTGTACGTAGAGGCCTAAGTAATCGTAGCGACCTAGTGCACGTATCAACCACTTCCTGGATAGCAAATTGGTGTTTTTTGCTTGAAAACCCGAAAGTGTTTGGCTGACGGCTACTAGTATGATTGACTGACGCCTTCTAGGATGAATTGCCAATAGTAGAGCTACGACAGAGAACACAGATAACCTTTTCTAACTCTCCGCGTTTAATTGATTACTAATTTAAATTCTAATTACTCGTTTGCGACTAATCATGGGCAATGATGTAAATTTTTTTTTTCGGTGGCCGTTCTTCGAACGAACAGCAAAGAATCTTTATGTTATCATAGAATTTTTTCCCTTATCTTCTTGATACATTATCTTATCAAATTAAAAAATTAAATGAAACTGAGAATCAAACGGGTTGCAGCGAGGCGGAGAACGGTCATCACAAATTATTATATTCCATTTGTTCCATTCATTCACTTATATTATATCACAGTCATTGATTTTTAATTATTCTTATTAATCCCTTTCTTTTTATTCATTCTGTACCCTGAATCAATCACGCAGTAAAAAGTTAATTATATAGGCTTGTTAATAATTAATGATCCTTACCTCTAAAGTGGGTGATTAACAGGACGCGAATAATTGATATTCTCTTTTATTAAAGTAAAAATGTTATAGGATTGACATTCCCCGGTTTTTTATTGGCGAACATTTAATCCATGTTTACACCGATTAAATAACTGGATGTGTGAAAACAAACGTCATAAAATTAAACTTAAGATGAAACAATTTGTCGTCAAAGCATTTTTAACTTTGAAAGAGTAAATGTTTCCCTTTAAAAATGAACCGATATTTCTTGAAACTTGAAATGGCAGGTAAAGAATTATTGAAACGCTAAAAGATTTAATTGTTTTACGCGCTGGTAATGCATTATAGTAAATCAAATCAATTCATAATTTTGCCTCTCCATACGTAAGACAGAGTATTTACTAATTCATAACCAGGTTAAATAATAAGTGAAGTTTCGCGTATTTCTGCGTATATAGGGTTAACATTTATTTCTCATTGTTCCACAGATCATTCAACTGTTCGTAACTTATGGAGGAATTTTCTCCTTAAACAATAAATCAAATTCTTTTCTTCTCTTCTTCGATGTAGTGTTATTTTCAAATGACCCATTTTAACCAAATATTCGCGCATTATCGATATGAAATGTATTAGTGAAGTGGCCGACTTTAACTCCTTCACGCATTAGTATAACTGAAAACAACTGAATTATAGGACCGTTTGAAAAAAATTCGGTTTGAAAATAGTTAATAGATTCATTCGTAGAGCTTTCAAAGGTTTTTTATTAGAATAGAATAGAATAGAATAGAAGTGTCGGCGCTGAAGAAATAGGCCCATGGCCTGTTGCCGATTCTTGAACTTTTCGTGACTTGATTCACAAGGGATCCGGCCTCATGGATGTGTTACAACGCAGTTTTTTAGTTTATAGCCGTGGCCCCTGGTGTTGGTTCTTGTTTCAAATTCTAGTAATCCTTCTGGGACCTTGTATAAGTCATGAGTATACTTGTATACTTCAATGAGGTCCCCACGCAGACGTCGATATTCATAAATCATCCAGTACCGTTGATAGTAGTTGTGAGAATTCGATGTTAAAGATAATATAAAATAATATTAAATCTCATAAAATTAACATTTCTCGATTACTTGCTGTCAATAACTCTCAAATTTCACATAATTTTTAGCCAATAAGTTTTCTCAAATTTGCTTAACAAAGAAACATATATCACTTGAACAAAATGAATCCTCTACCTTAGAACAAATATACATCCTCTCTTCTCCTTTAACTTTAACAGCAAGTTAATGTCTTCTAGTATAGACTTGTTTTTAAATCTTATATGTAAATCTATATTTAAATATTATGGCAATCTTAGACTACTATCGGTTAGGGAGTAGATCATCTTCTTGTGAAGCAGTCCCACTTATGAGATTAGGGATCGTGGGCTGGCTGGGGACCGAGGCTGTGTACGGTGCATGTGTACAAATGGGAACATTGTGAACATCGCTGAGCGTGCAGCGAACAGTGCTAGATGTTGGTTGAAAACTACTAGGGGTTGAAAGTACAGTATTGGGCATCGAGAAAACATTGCTAGGGGTTGAATGTACAGTATTGGGCATCGAGAAAACATTGCGAGGGGTTGAAAGTACAATATTGGGCATCGAGAAAATATGGCTAGGTGTTGAATGTACAGTATTGGGCATCGAGAAAACATTGCTAGGGGTTGAATGTTTACCACTGGCTGTCCATATTTCATTGCTAAGGTTTGATTGTTCAGTATTAGGTATCGAAAAAACATTGCTAGGGGTTGAATGTACAGTATTGGGCATCGAGAAAACATGGCTATTTGTCGAATATACATAACTGGACAGGCTCTGAACATTACTCGTCATGGTGGAGGTTCCACTTGATATTGAAAAACTGTTGCCAGAAAAAGACTGTACATTATTTTGTATGGAAAATGGATTTACGGTGGTTGGCTGGAAATCATTAGAATTTCCGTGACAGGAGCTGGGCATCGCTAGACTACCTGCTTTAGAATAAGCTGCACTGTTATCACTTTGTGGTGATGGTGTGAACAGGAGTGGAGTGTGAACACCACTCATGATGTTGTGTGGTGATGGATTGACCGGGACCAGGGTGTTAACACCACCCATAATGTTGTGAACACTCATTGGTAACACGTGAGGCGAGGCGTGAACTCCACTGGCTGTGTTCGCATTATGAAGAACAGTAGCGCTGCAACTCTGGTATGGAACAGAAACTTTCTGGAGCGGTGAACTGGACGATGTATAGGCAGGGCTTCTTGAGAACTGGAATGATGGAACAGTGAAACGGCTTGCATTTATTTTGTGTTATTTGTTGGACTAGCAATTTAAATTTTTTCTAATAATTTAATCAATTTCAGTATTTTTTAGGTGTGGTATATTGAAATTATATGAGTTATTCATAAATGTAGATAGTGACTTTTGTTCCTGGAACTCAAAAAACAGAGAACTTTTATGCAATTAAAGAAAAGACGGTAAAGCGAAATAGATTTCGTTATAATTCATTCAGCAAAGATACCGCCGCATGAACATAACGAGGTCCAATATCATTTGATGAATCATTAAATTGAATTTATATGAATTTTAGGGTGACCTGACTTCCAGGATACATATTTTTTGCTTTAAATTTTTGGAAAAGGAAATTTTGTATTCGATATAAATTAAAATATTATTTCTATATAGCATGTGTGTTAGTATTCAGAAACTACACTAAGATTTAAGAGGCTAAAAGTTGTAATTCGTAAATTTCAGATTAATTGAAGTCAATATTTAAATGATGTTCTTTGACTGAATTCCCAAGGTACATGGACTCTCAATTTCGTAAGCGCTTAAATCGAAGCTACTAAAAAGATAGCGATTTTTATAAAAAATGTGTCCAACCAATTTTACTACTTTTAGACTCATCTATTCACCGAAGATCTACTCATCTACTTGAGTCATACAAGAAAAATTGTATACTTCAACTTCTTCAATGATTTTTCAATTACTGTAAATTTATTTTAATGGAAAATATGAAATTCAGAGGCTGACATTTTTGTAATAATTTAGTAAAAATATGGAATCAATTGCGATCTATTCGTTGATATTAAACCATTGTTTGCATGGTATTAAGTTCGTTTCCTCCATATTTATCGATCGCTCCAAATTCCTCTTATTAGCATAACATCGAATTGATATGTATATTGTTAGCAAATATATTCTGAATTGAATAATTTAATTGTGAATATTTTACCTTAGGTGATCCATGAGAGGTCGGCTGTTTCCGTAAGCCTGCAGGTCGGATCCAAAATTCGCTCTCCTCTAAGGTAACTGCGACAACCAACAACAAATATTGTGTAAATAATCAACAGTTCGAAATATTCTAAAACATCGCTTGAAAATATTTTCAAACGAAAAATTTGTATTCAAAATAAATTTATGCATGTTCTCTGATTCTGATAATCTATTGTTACGTTCATGGTTGTTTAAATACTCAATCTTTGTTTTCTTGATGTAGCAGTCGGATATTTTTTCTACAAGACTTTGTATTTCAGAGCGCATCTCGATGGCAACATCAAAGTTTCCGATGACCGCTTCTGGAAACTTGCAGGCTATATCACAGCACTGCACCTGTCCACGAGGACCGTTTCAACTTTTCGTTTGCGGGTCGCCGATATAAGTTTTATATTTATTCAATAATAAACGACAAGTTAATGTTAATTTATTATTTTATCATCAATTAATGCCATATGTTTTTTATATAGGGATTGCTGAAAAATAGTGTTTATAGTGTCGTGAGCCCGTTTTGTAAATCTTACAAGGATCATGGTTGAGATTCATACCGGATCTGTATATACAGATTCCGTAATTTCGTGGTATCTTATGAACTCTGATGCCATTCATATGACATTGTCATTCATTTTTGTATATATCGTTCATTAAAAGTAGCCAATTGGATACGTCGGTCGTGAAAAGTAGTTCGTCGCACGTTACCGATGCGATTTTTGCTTTATGGGAGGATTTTTTAATGCAATTCCTGGGAGGATGGAGGATTATTGTTTCTTCATATATCCAACGTTGCCTCTAGGAATTACATGGCTAAAATTACTTGATGAAAGCTCTTAACACCAAACGGGATTAATATATGGACGAATATATGGTGCTTTGGCTTAAATAAGCGGCTTGGATAGGCCTTAGTTTATTGCACGCCTTTTACAGTTCTATATTTTTCGAGTGTAAATATTAAACCATTGCTTGTGACGCTATATCCGTGAACGCAAATTTTCCAAGGGAATTTTCCCATCAGTGTTAATACTTTTCACTTCTCTGATCTCATATAACTAAGTGAGACATTGTCTAAAGTGAGACTTGTTGCATTGTGTGGGTCATTGTGATCCAGTTTAGTCTAGCAAAAGGGTGCATGAGCGCCACGTCCGTTCGTGCTGTGGGTTAGAGAGTGTGAATATTTGGACGCTATAACACATTCGTTTTTCTGAGTGATAGCATATTTTTAATTGGCACAAAAGCGCTTATGTTAACCGAAACGTTGTGGACTAACGAGGAGCTGACGAGGCTTGAAGCTGACCACATCAGTCCCGAATTTTGCAATAAAAGAACGCCGAATTCAAATTGAAAATCATTGGCTTAGAAAAATAGTAAAAGAAATTAATATTTTTAAAAGCATAACGCTTATTCGTTGCAGAGTATTTTGAAGTGTAAATCAGAGTGTAAGATTTTATCAATCCCGGCTGCACATATTAAAATGTTAGTTAATAATTTTTGGTTCATTTGCTGCATAACTTTTCTTAAAAATTTTTGCTTATTTATTACGGACATTTATTGTACATACAAACGCAATACATTTCATTGAAAAATTTAGTATATTAAAAAAATTTATTTGCAGCAAAATTTCATACAAGCGCAATACTTTCATTGAAAAATTTAGTAAAATCTAAAAAAATATATTTTGAGCAAAATTTCATACAAACGCAATACTTTCATTTAAAAATTTTTGTAAACTAAAAAAAATATTTTCAGTAATACTTCAATTAAAACATAAAAAAATAGTTTTGTTATTTTATCCAAGTTTTCTCACCAGTTTCCCTGCTGCCAGACTCCTCCGAGGCCTCCACTGCCGCTGTGACCACATCGTCGTTACCATCCGTGCTGCTGTGCTGCTCAGCACGACTGTCTCGTCTCTTCCTCGTCCTCCTCCTGCTTCGTCTGACGAGGAGCAGCACGACCGCCACGACGAGCAGAATTAATGAGAGCAACAAAGCGCCCGCCATGGCTGCCGCCAGCCACGTCAGGGGCAAAGACGTGGGCGACACCACGGGCGTCTCGACCACCACCTCAGCGTCCGTGGGCTCCCCTGGACGCACCGCAAATGTCGTGTATATTAAATTAAAAATATAACTCAGTACTCGCTGCAGTGGGTGACAGAGAGTGCATTTTCTCGTCGACGAAAACGTGAAGTCACGGACGGACAGACAGACAGGCGGACAGACAGACAGACGGACAGGCAGACAGACGGACGGACAGACAGAGGGACGGACATGGCGAGCACAATAAAATGTCGTGATTATTAAATTAAAAATATAACTCAGTACTCACTGCAGTAAGTGACAGAGAGCGCATTTTCTCGTCGACGAAAACGTGAAGTCACGGACGGACGGACGGACAGACGGAGGGACAGACAGACAGACGGACAGGCAGACAGAGAGACAGACAGACAGACTGACGGACAGAGAGACAGAGGGACAGTCAGACAGACGGACAGACGGACGGATATGGCGAGCACAATAGCGCATTTTTTCATAAATGAGAAAAAGCGCTAAAAATTAGATCACATATTTCATATGTTTTAATTTATGTGTACCTTTGTTTCAAACATATGAAAAATTCTTTGTGGATACAATGCTCTGAATTTTTCGCCACCTCAGCATCTGTTGGTTCGTCTGGACAGGTGGCAAATGCAGAGCTGCAGGTCGTAAGAAAATCCGATGAACAGAGAATAGAAAGGAGGTACAAATGAATGAGTGAATGGGGTTTTTATTATTATTATCATTAAATTTTATATTTAATATATTTTTATTAAATGTCCGTATAAATGTACAAAAATATATGAAAGTGCCAATTAGAACTTTCGCAACTGACACGACCGAGAAGAAAAGATTCGGCTGAACAATAAAGTGATATTACTGGTGAATATCTTTATTAAATTTGAGGCACAATTATCATTTATTTATTGCTCATTAACTCTCTTAGCAAGCAAAATTTAGAAAATTCGCGATCAAAAAGGGGGAAATCCAAATCTAATTTTAATAAAAAGAAAATTCAGCTCTGCATTTTTTTAACTCATTAGTTACCTTTCATTCATGCCATTGTGATCTCTAATGCTACTCACCTTCACATAGTCTATCCTCAACACTCGCTAACTCAACACTGTCAAGTAATATTATAGCATTGATATTTTGATGACATATGGTAGCATATTATAGCATGATATTATGATGAAATATGGTAGCATCTTATAGCATCGATAACTTATAGACTCAGAGTTTATGTCCGACTTCTTTCTTATGAATCCGACCTGCATTCCTAAATACTTCTTGTTTCGGGACCAGACTAACTCCGTGAAATCCATAATCTCTTTAATCCGTTTGTCCCCAAACCATTTGTTCTCAAATCGTTTGTTCCTAAACCATTTGCCCCAAACCATTAGTCCCCAAACCTTTTGTTCTCAAATCGTTTGTCCCCAAACCATTTGTCCCCGAACCATTTGTCCCCAAACCATTTGCCCCAAACCATTTGTCCCTAAACCATTTGCCCCAAACCATTTGTCCCTAAACCATTTGCCCCAAACCATTTGTCCCCAAACAATTTGTCCCCAAACCATTTGCCCCCAAACCATTTGTCCCCAAGCCATTTGTCCCCAAACCATTTGCCCCAAACCATTTGTCCCTAAACCATTTGCCCCAAACCATTTGTCCCCAAACCATTTGTCCCCAAACCATTTGTCCCCAAACCATTTGCCCCAAACCATTTGTCCCTAAACCATTTGCCCCAAACCATTTGCCCCAAACCATTTGTCCCTAAACCATTTGCCCCAAACCATTTGTCTCCAAACCGTTTGTCCCCAAACCATTTGCCCCCAAACCATTTGCCCCAAACCATTTGCCCCAAACCCTTTGTCCCCAAACCATTTGCCCCAAACCATTTTCCCAAACCATTTACCCCAAACCATTTGTCACCAAACCATTTGTCCCCAAACCATTTGTCCCCAAACCATTTGTCCCCAAACCATTTGCCCCAAACCATTTGCCCCAAACCATTTGTCCCCAAACCATTTGCCCCAAAACGTCTACCCTCAGCAAATGTTATGTCACGTCATCTCAAGCCACCGCCCCATGTTTAACGCCAGTGCAGCAGCTCTCAGCAGACGATCATGGCAGATTTATCAGCGGGTTCCAGTCAGCTTTTCGTTGGCCGTCGATGTGCCGGCCAAGATTTAGGCAGGGACTGATCGATGTCCCCGGCAGAAGTTATCGCGCCGCGCACGCGAACTGCACGTTGCTATCTGCGCCTTCAGCGAGGCTTATGTTGCCTTCAGCGAGGCTTATATTGCTTTCAGCGAGGCTTATGTTGCCTTCAGCGAGGCTTATGTTGCCTTCAGCGAGGCTTATGTTNCTGACAGCTACTAGGATGAGTGGCTGACAGCTACTAGGATGAGTGGCTGACAGCTACTAGGATGAGTGGCTGACAGCTACTAGGATGAGTGGCTGACAGCTACTAGGATGAGTGGCTGACAGCTACTAGGATGAGTGGCTGACAGCTACTAGGATGAGTGGCTGACAGCTACTAGGATGAGTGGCTGACAGCTACTAGGATGAGTGGCTGACAGCTACTAGGATGAGTGGCTGACAGCTACTAGGATGAGTGGCTGACAGCTACTAGGATGAGTGGCTGACAGCTACTAGGATGAGTGGCTGACAGCTACTAGGATGAGTGGCTGACAGCTACTAGGATGAGTGGCTGACAGCTACTAGGATGAGTGGCTGACAGCTACTAGGATGAGTGGCTGACAGCTACTAGGATGAGTGGCTGACAGCTACTAGGATGAGTGGCTGACAGCTACTAGGATGAGTGGCTGACAGCTACTAGGATGAGTGGCTGACAGCTACTAGGATGAGTGGCTGACAGCTACTAGGATGAGTGGCTGACAGCTACTAGGATGAGTGGCTGACAGCTACTAGGATGAGTGGCTGACAGCTACTAGGATGAGTGGCTGACAGCTACTAGGATGAGTGGCTGACAGCTACTAGGATGAGTGGCTGACAGCTACTAGGATGAGTGGCTGACAGCTACTAGGATGAGTGGCTGACAGCTACTAGGATGAGTGGCTGACAGCTACTAGGATGAGTGGCTGACAGCTACTAGGATGAGTGGCTGACAGCTACTAGGATGAGTGGCTGACAGCTACTAGGATGAGTGGCTGACAGCTACTAGGATGAGTGGCTGACAGCTACTAGGATGAGTGGCTGACAGCTACTAGGATGAGTGGCTGACAGCTACTAGGATGAGTGGCTGACAGCTACTAGGATGAGTGGCTGACAGCTACTAGGATGAGTGGCTGACAGCTACTAGGATGAGTGGCTGACAGCTACTAGGATGAGTGGCTGACAGCTACTAGGATGAGTGGCTGACAGCTACTAGGATGAGTGGCTGACAGCTACTAGGATGAGTGGCTGACAGCTACTAGGATGAGTGGCTGACAGCTACTAGGATGAGTGGCTGACAGCTACTAGGATGAGTGGCTGACAGCTACTAGGATGAGTGGCTGACAGCTACTAGGATGAGTGGCTGACAGCTACTAGGATGAGTGGCTGACAGCTACTAGGATGAGTGGCTGACAGCTACTAGGATGAGTGGCTGACAGCTACTAGGATGAGTGGCTGACAGCTACTAGGATGAGTGGCTGACAGCTACTAGGATGAGTGGCTGACAGCTACTAGGATGAGTGGCTGACAGCTACTAGGATGAGTGGCTGACAGCTACTAGGATGAGTGGCTGACAGCTACTAGGATGATTGGCTGACAGCTACTATAGATGGTTGGCTGGCAGCTACTAGGATGATTGGCTGACAGCTACTAGGATGATTGGCTTACAGCTACTAGGATGATTGGCTTACAGCTACTAGGATGAGTGGCTGGCAGCTACTAGGATGAATTGCAATAGTATAGAGCTACGACTGAGAACACTGATAACATTTTTTTATTCTCCGCGTTAAATTGATTACGAAATTAAATTCCAATTGCTCGTTTGCGACCAATCATGGGCAATGATGTAAATTATTTTTTCGGTGGCCATTTTACGAACGAACCTCAAAGAATCTTCATGATATCATAGAATTTTTCCCTTATCTTCCTAATTATCTAATCAAATTAATAAAATTAAATGAAACTGCGAATTAAACGGGTTGCAGCAAGGCGTAGGCTTGTCATCACAAATTATTATATTCCATCTGTTCCACTCATTCACTTGTAATTCTATCTCAGTCATTGATTTTTATTTGTTCATATTCATCCCTTTCTTTTATTCATCCTGTATTCTGAATCAATCACGCAGTAAAAAGTTAATTATATAGGCTTGTTATTAATTAATGATCCTTACCTCTAAAATGGGTGATTAACAGGACGCGAACAATTGATATTCTCTTTTATTAAAGTAAAAATGTTATAGGATTGACATTCCCCAGTTGTTTATTGGCGAACATTTAAGCCATGTACACACCGATTAAATAACTGGATCTGTGAAAACAAACATCATAAAGTTAAACTTGAGATGAAACATTTTGTCATTAAAGCATTTTTTGACTTTAAAATAGTAAATGTTTCCATTTAAAAATGAACCGATATTTCTTGAAACTTGAAATGGCAGGTATAGAATTATTGAAATGCTGAAAGATTTAATTGTTTTACGCACTGGTAATGCTTTATAGTAAACCAAATCATTTCATTGTTTTGCCTCTACTACGTAAGACATAGTATTAACTAACTCATAACCATTGAAAATAATAAGTGAAGTTTCGCGTATTTCTGCGTTGGGTTAACATTTATTTTTATTGTTCCACAGATCATTCAAAAGCGATTGTTCGTAACTTACGAAGGAATTTTCTCGTTAAACAATAAATCATATTCATTTCCTCTCTTCTTCGATATAGTGTTATTTTCAAATGGCCCATTTTAACCAAATATTCTCACATTATCGAAATTAAACATAATCGTAAAGTGGCCGACTTTCACTCATTCACGCATCAGTATAATTGAAAACAAATGAATTGTAGGATCGTTTAAAAAAATTCTATTTCAGTTTGAAAATAGCGAATAGATTCGTTCGATGAGCTTTCAAAGGTTTTTTACTCATAAAACATTCAATACCGTTAATAAAAGTTTTTAGAATTCGATGTCAGAGATAATATAAAATAATATTAAATCTCATAAAATTAGCATTTCTCGATTACCTGCAGTCAATAACTCAAATTTCACGTAATTTTTAGCCAATAAATTTTCTTGAATTTGCATAACAAAGGAACAGATATCACGTGGAACTTAATTAGAACATACATACATTCTCTCTTCTCCTTTAACTTTAACAGAAAGTTAATGTCTTCTAGTATAGACTTGTATTTAAATCTTATAGATAAATCTACATTTAAGTGTCATACTAAACTTAGACTATTATCGGTTAGGGAGTAGATCATCTTCTTGAGAAGCAGTCCCACTCATGAGATTAGGGATCGCGGGCTGGCTGGGGACCGAGGCTGTGCACGGTGCATGTGTACAAATGGGAACATTGTGAACATCGCTGGGCGTGCAGCGAACAGTGGTAGACGTGGGTAGAAAACTGCTAGGGGTTGAATGTACAGTATTGGGCATCGAGAAAACATTGTTAGGGTTTGAATGTACAGTATTGGGCATCGAGAAAACATTGCTAGGGGTTGAATGTACAGTATTGGGCATCGAGAAAACATTGCTAGGGGTTGAATGTTTACCACTGGCTGTCCATATTTCACTGCTAAGGTTTGATTGTTGAGTACTGGGTATCGAAAAAACATTGCTAGGGGTTGAATGTACAGAAATGGGCATCGAAAAAGCATTGCTATTTGTCGAATATATATAACTGGACAGGTTCTGAACATTACTCGTCATGGTGGAGGTTCCACTGGATATTGAAAAATTGTTGCCAGAAAAAGACCGTACATTATTTTGCATGGAAAATGGATTTAGGGCGGTTGGCTGGAAATCATTAGAATTTCCGTGACAGACGCTTGGCATCACTAGACTACCTGCTTTGGAATAAGCTGCACTGTTATCACTTTGTGGTGATGGTGTGAACAGGAGTTGAGTGTGAACACCACTCATGGTGTTGTGTGGTGATGGAATAACCGGGACCAGGGTGTGAACACCACCCATAATGTTGTGAACACTCATTGGTAACACGTGAGGCGAGGCGTGAACTCCACTGGCGGTGTTCGCAGTATGAAGAACAGTAGCGCTGCAACTCTGGTATGGAACAGAAAATTTCTGGAGCGGTGAACTGGATGAAGTATAAGCAGGGCTTCTTGAGAACTGGAATGATGAAACAGTGAAACAGTTTGCTTTTTTGAGTTATTTGCTGGACCAACAATTTGAATATTTTCTAATAATTTAATAAATTTCTGTATTTTGTAGGTGTGGTATATTGAAATTATATATGTTATTCATAAATGTAGATAGTGATTTTTCTTCCTGTAACTCAAAAAATAGAGAACTTTCATGCAATTAAAGGAAAGACTTTAAAGCGAAATAGATTTCTTAATAATTCGTTTTGCAAAGACACCGCCGCATGAACATAACGGCGTCCAATATCATATGATGAATCATTAATTTTAATTTCTAAAAATTTTAGGCTTCCAGGCTGAAGATAGCCGAATTTTATGCTTCAAATTTCGGGAAAAGGAAATTTTGTATTCAATATCAATTGAAATATTATTTCTATATTGCATGTATGTTAGTATTTGGAAGCTACACTAAGATTTAAGAGACTAAAATTTGTGATTCGTAAATTCCAGATTACCTAATGTCAATATTTAAATGATGTTCTTTGACTGAATTCCCGAGTTACATAGCCGCTCAATTTCGTAAGCGCTTAAATCGAAGCTACTAAGAAGCCAGCGATTTTAATAAAAAATGTGTCCATCCAATCTTATTACTTTTAGACTCATCTATTCACCGAATATCTACTCATCTACTTGAGTCGTACAAGAAAATTTGTATACTTCGACTTCTTCAACGATTTTTCAATTGCTGTAAATTTATTTTAATGGAACATATGAAATTCAAGGGTTGACATATTTGTAATAATTTTGTACAAATATGGAATCAATTGCGATCTATTCGTTGATATTTAACTATTGTTTGCATGGTATTGAGTTCGTTTCCTCAATATTGATCGATCGCTCCAACTTCCTCTTATTAGCATAGCATCCAATTGATATATATTGTTAACTATTATATTTTGAATTAAATAATTTAATTGTGAATATTTTACCTTAGGTGATCCATGAGAGGTCGGCTGTTTCCGTAGGCCTGCAGGTCGGATCCAAAATTCGCTCTCCTCCAGTGTAACTGCGACAACCAACAACAAATATTGTGTAAATAATCAACACTAAAATCTATTCTAAAACATCGCTTGAAAACATATTTTCAAACGAAAAATATGTTAACAAAATAAATTTATGCTTGTTTTCTGATTCTGATAATCTATTGTTACGTTCATGCATGGTTGTGTAAATATTCAATCTTTGTTTTCTTGATGTAGCAGTCGGATATTTCTTCTACAAGACTTCGTGTTTTAGATCGCATCTCGATGGCAACATCTAAGTTTCCGATGACCGCTTCTGGGAACTTGCATGCTATATCACAGCACCGCACCTGTCCTGGAGGAGTGCGTCAACTTTTCGATTGCGGGTCGCCGATATAAGTTTTATGTTTATTTAATAAAAAATAACAAGTTAAAGTTAATTTATTATTTTATCATCAAACAATGTCATATGTTTTTAGCGCATTTTCTCATTTATGGAAAAAAGGCGCTATTGTGCTCGTCATGTCCGTCCGTCTGTCTGTCCGCCCGTCCGTAACCACGTTTTCGACGAGAAAATGCGCTCTCTTTCACTCACTGCAGTGAGTACTGAGTTATATTTTTTTATATAGGGATTGCTAAAAAGTAGGGTTTAAACTTTAGAGTGTCGTGAATCCCGTTTTGTAAATCTTGAAAGAATCATGGTTGAGATTCATACCGGCTCTGGTATAAACCAATTCTGTAATTTTGTGATATCTTATAAACTCTGATGCCAATAATTTGACAATGTCATTCATTTTGCATAGATCGTTCATCAAAAGTACCAATTAAATACGTCGGTCGCGAAAAGTGGTTCGTCATGCACGGCGAAATTCTTGCTTTTTGAGAGGATTTTTGGATGCAATTCCTGGGCGGATGGAGGATTTTTGTTTCTTCATATATTCGCCGTTGACTCTAGCAATTCCATAGCTACAATTACTTGATGAAAGCTCTTAATACCAAACGAGGTTAGTATATTGACGAACATATGGTGCTTTGGCTTAAATAAACGGCTTGGATGAGCCTTAGTTTATTGCACGCCTTTCAATGTACTCCGTTTTTCGAGTGTTAATATTTAGCCATTGGTTGTGACGTTATATCTGTGAACACGAATATTCCAGGGAAATTTTCCACGAATTTCTATGCTATTCACTGCTCTAACTAAGTGCGACATTGTCTAAAATGAGACTTGTCGCCTTTTGTGGGTCATAGTGATGCAGTTTAGTCTAGCAAACGGGCGGATAAGCGCCACGTCCGCTAGTGCTATGGGTTAGAGAGTGTCGATTTTCGGACTTTATGATACATTCATTTTATTGAGTGATAGCATATTTTTAATTGGTCCAAAAGCGCTTATGTTGAACCGAACTGTTGTGGACTAACGAGGAGCTGTCGAGGCTTGAAGCTGGCCACATCAGTCCCGAATTTTGCAATAAAACAATGTCAAATTCTAATTGAAAATCATTGAATTGAAGGAAAATATTTAAAGTATGCAGTATTTTCAAAAGCATAAAGCTTATATGTTTCAGAACATTATGAAATGCAAATCAGAGTGTTAGATTTTTGTCAATCCTCGCTGCACCCATTAAAATGTTAGTTGAGAATTTTTGGTTCACTTGTTGCACAACTTTCCTTGAAAATTTATTGCTCATTTATTACGGACATTTATTGTACATATAAACGCAATACATTTCATTCAAAAATTTAGTAAATTTTAAAAAAATTATTTTCAGTAATATTTCATTTAAAACATGAAAGAAAACAGTTTATTATTTTCTCCAAGTTTTCTCACCAGTCTCCCTGCTACCAGACTCCTCCGACGCCTCCACTGCCGTGGTGACTGCTTCGTCGTTACCATCCGTGCTGCCATGCTGCTCAGCACGACTGTCTCGTCTCTTCCTCGTCCTCCTCCTGCTTCGTCTGACGAGGAGCAGCACCACCGCCACGACGAGCAGAATTAATGAGAGCAACACAGCGCCCGCCGCGGCGGCCGCCAGCCACGTCAGGGGCGACGAGGTGGGCGACACCACGGGCGTCTCTACCACCACCTCAGCGTCCGTGGGTTCCCCTGGACGCACCGCAAATGTCGTGAATATTAAATTAAAAATATAACTCGGTACTCTCTGCAGTGGGTGAGAGAGAGCGCATTTTCTCGTCAACGAAAACGTGAAGTCACGGACAGACAGACAGACAGAGGGACAGAGAGACAGAGGGACAGTCAGACAGACGGACGGACGGAGACGGCGAGCACAATAGCGCATTTTTTCATCAATGAGAAAAGCGCTAAAAATGAGATCACATATTTCATATGTTTTAATTTATGTGTACCTGTTTCAAACATATAAAAATTTCTTTGTTGATTTAATGGTCTGAATTTTCCGTCACCTCAGTTGGTTCGTCTGACAGGCGGCAAATGCAGAGCTCGTCGTAAAAAAAACCGATAAGCATATAATAGAAAGGAGGTACAAATGAATGAGTGAATGGGGGTTTTTATTATTATCGTTATTGAATTTATATATTAATATATTTTTTAAAAATGTCCGTATAAATTTAGAAAAATATATGAAAGTAGCCATTAGAACTTTTGCAACTGACACGATCGAGAAGAGAAGATTCGGCAGCACAATTAAGTGATATTACTGGTGTATATCTTTATTAAATGCGAGACACAATTATAATTTATTTATTGCTCATTAACTCTCTTAGCAAGCGAAATTTAGAAAATTTGCGATCAAAGAAGGGAAAAATACAAATTTAATTTATAATAAAAAAAAATTCAGCGCTGCTTTTAACTCATTAGTTTCCTTTCATTCATGCCATTGTGATCTCTGATGCTACTCACCTTCACACAGTCTATCAACACTCGCTAACTCAGCACTGTCTAGTGATATTATGGCATTGATATTTTGATGGCATATGAGAGCTTATGAAGGCATGATATTATGATGAAATATGGTAGCAAATGATAGCATCGATAACTTATAGACTCAGAGATTATGTCCGACTTCTTTCTTATGAATCCGGCCTACATTCCTTTAAGTAGTTCTCGTTTCGGGACCAGACTAACTCCGTGAAATCCATAATCTCTTTAGTCCGTTTGTCCATAAACCATTTGTTCTCAAATCGTTTGTTCCCGAAACGATTGTCCCCAAACCGATTGTCCCCAAACCGATTGTCCCCAAACCGATTGTCCCCAAACCAATTGTCCCCAAACCGATTGTTCCCAAACCGATTGTTCCCAAACCGATTGTCCCCAAACCGATTGTTCCCAAACCGATTGTCCCCAAACCGATTGTCCCCAAACCGATTGTCCCCAAACCGATTGTCCCCAAACCGATTGTCCCCAAACCGATTGTCCCCAAACCGATTGTCCCCAAACCGATTGTCCCCAAACCGATTGTCCCCAAACCGATTGTCCCCAAACCGATTGTCCCCAAACCGATTGTCCCCAAACCGATTGTCCCCAAACCGATTGTCCCCAAACCGATTGTCCCCAAACCGATTGTCCCCAAACCGATTGTCCCCAAACCGATTGTCCCCAAACCGATTGTCCCCAAACCGATTGTCCCCAAACCGATTGTCCCCAAACCGATTGTCCCCANTTCAGCGAGGCTTATGTTGCCTTCAGCGAGGCTTATGTTGCCTTCAGCGAGGCTTATGTTGCCTTCAGCGTATTCAGGCAACCATTTGAAATCGCATTTTTTATTGGGATGTTGTCATTCAATGGAAGTTTTATAAATAATCTTTAATATAGTACAAGTAAATTTATAATCACATAATATAATACGAGTTTGTAATCGATATGATATCGTTTGTCAATATTTTATACGGGATCCGGCATGTTACACAGATATTTAAAAATTTTCATTAATAATTTTTTGTATAATAGGAAATTCTTAAATAATTTATAGAATAGCAAAAATTTGTTATCAATCTGCTATTGTTTGTCTATACTTTATAGTAGCGACGATGAATTTATAGTGTCAATTCAGAATGAACTGAAAAATTATTCATCTTACACATCGTCAGCTTGAATGCCTGAATAGTGGAAGGGATGAATGACTGTATTGTGTGAATAATCATTTGCATTGTCGGTCACCAGGCAAATATAGGCTTAGAATGTGTAGTCTCAAATATCACAGCAGATCAAAGTAACAATTATTAAAACGTATATAAATGTTAATAAAGAGATAGATGAATTATTGCGAAATAAATAAATATAATTTTATTATCAGTGACTTCCATTTTACACACCGAAAGTTAAATATTTGTCTAACAAGCTTCGTTTTCAAATCTCCTTAATCATATAGAAAAATTCTAATATTCCGTAGTTGAATTTTTAAAATGAATACAAACAACGGCAGCCTAACGTTGGACAAATATCCCATGATAACAGAGTTATGCCTGAGAATGTTTAACTATGTTGACCTCGCACATGTGCTTCCGTAGGCTCATATATATATTTTTTATTGTAGCACATCAGACGGGCGAATTTTATAGGAGCTAATATTTTTTAAAGGAATATTTTAGAAAGAAAGATTCCATTTGGTTCATCTTTCCATTTTACTTTGCAGGATAATTTGTCGCTCAAAAGAACGCAGCGGAAGTTCAATTTCCGTTAGCGAAGTCGTATCCAATTCGACTTTGAAATAATTAAACGGTATTTTATCATAAAATACTTTTATTTGCTGTATATCAATAATTTGAATGCTCGAATTCCATTTAAACAATTTCTAATGAGTAAAAAATTTAATAGATAATAGAAGCAAAGTCAGAAGCCGACGACACGTTGTCGTGAGCTTTGCACTACGCTGGCCGACAGCGCTGCCTGGCGCATAGAATTATCGAATTATTATTATTATTATTATTGTCATTAATATTATATTATTATTATTATTATTATTATTATTATTATTATTATTATATCCTTATACCTGAAAAAAGAGCCGATTCTAAAATTGTTAACCAGCAACACATGAAGATTTACATCCGGAAGATATTTGGCAAATAAAACTTTTAATTCCTTTGACACAGTCTCAGATGCGGGTCCAAAGTAGGGAAAGATATTCTTATAAAGATATGGTGAATTTTTGTGGTATTTTCTTTGCTTTTAAATTCCTGGTTAACTTGCGATTCAAGCAAACAAGTGATTTTAATATTCACCATTCTATTATATTATTATTATTCACAATTCTATTCACTATTAAATAGCTTCATCAATAATTATAATCATATCTCTGGCGAAACCTCCGTACCTACTTAAAAATAATTTTTTTTTTGTCATAAATTCAATCCACGTTTGCTCTGCGGGTATGCATCCAAATGATCCTGCCAACGTGTGTTCATTTTAAGACATGAAGGAAAAGTTTTAAAGAGAAATAGTGAATTATTTTGTTTTTGGTGCCGATATGAACTTGGATTTTTGGCTCTTCATAACGTGATTTAAGAACAGAGCATTTCCGATCGCATTATTTTTGCTCTGATGAAAGTGTTCGAGCGAAGAAGTGATCGAGCGAAGAAGTGATCGAGCGAAGAAGAGATCAAGCGAAGATGTGATCGAGTAAAGAAGTTGAGAAAGATTAGGAATGGAGATTAGGAATAGAAACGATTAGGAATGCCAGTGAAGGAAAAAAAGGTCTAGCAGGTGAAACTACAATTTAACTCGTTAAGTGCAGCAGCAGCACGACCCACCACGGTTGCCAGATGGCCTAAAAACGGCCAAGTCCGCGGACAAAAAAAATGCCTCTTATTCAATATTTACAAGTAAATTTGTACAGTCCCAGTAGAAAAATTAAATCTTCATTTTTTCGTTTTTTTAATTTTAGAGAAGAATCATATTTTTCCGGTCAATGCAATTAAAAGAAATAAATTTCGGAATTTATTAAGAAAAAAGATCCTGCAACCCGCCACTGGGTCGTGCTGCTTCTAACGTGTTAAAAAAATATTTCCAATTTCGAAATATCACATTGTTGGCCCAGAACCAAAATATTGAAAATAAGTATAGAGGGTTATTATTCTATCGCATATCCACCGTATCCATCGTGTATGGATATTGCCATGACAACGTGGACATCGAATTGAAGTTTTAGATTTTTTAGTGGAATCCATATAAATTGAAAACAGGGCTTGAACGTTCTAGATTCCTCTATTATTCATAAAAATATAACTGAATTTAAAATAGCCAATTAAGGTGCATTTATATTTCGATGATGGAGTTAAGTTGAGGGATCGCATCTAATTAACTTGACTTTAATTTGAACACTCATGCAAAAGGACACGAAATCTCGCAATAAATGTTGTTCAAACCTCAAATGTTTTAATCTATAAATTTATCATGAGCAAAAGTTATCAAAATCTATATTAATATATATATACATATATATATATTATATGTTAATATATATGAATATCAGAATATGTATATCAATAACATTTTATTATCAGAAGTAGAAAGTCTTCACGATGATAATGTCATAAAATTGTTCACTCAATGGGCCGTGGTTTTATTTATGTTATGCGATTTTTTATTTAACCTTAACAACGACGTGAAGAATTACCCTTCATTATAACTTTTTTGCAGCACGCACGAGTATAAACAGGCAAGAAAAAACTTTAAAATAAAAAATATATAACTCAGTACTCACTGCAATGAGTGACAGAGAGCGCATTTTCTCGTCGACGAAAACATGTCGTCACGGACAGACTGACGGACGGACAGACGGACATGACGAGCACAGTAGGGCATTTTTTCTATAAATGAGAAAATGCGCTAAAACAGGAACCCTAGAAAAATTTGCTACCAGAGGAGAGTTTTGGCAGAGCTTATTACTCAAAGACGCAATTAGCAATAGTTTGAGCCATCTATCCACCATGCGTCTATAACGCCGCAAAGACGACACGTGGCATGTCCAAAATGCATGACCTGCGAAAGGCTTCTGAAATGCACTCGGTGCATTGCATGTCGATAACACTCGGTGCTGGTATATCGGGTAGCCTTTGAACAAATATGACTCGTCCTAGAGCTGGTCCGTGTGTATTTTTCATTGAAAAATTCATATGCAATTTACGCTCATAAAAACCAGAACTAATCTCATAAAATATCGAAAAACTTGTTATATTGAAAAAATGGAAGTGAGTTTTTTTCAAATTTCGTTCACAAAGTTAAGCCACAAAATGAATTACTGATACGTTTTAACAGCCAGCCTTTTGTTCTAAAATAAAGACTAAGTACATAAAATCTAATGCTTGAGTGCTAGAACACAATGTATGTGCCTTCATCATAATGAATATCACAATGAATATCACAATAAATAAAACAATGAATATCACAATGAATATGATATTTTCTTCGCCGCTCGATCACTCATTATTTGACAGACCTTGCACTATTATACATGGTCGTTATCTATTTACCTTTTGACTGTGAAGACGGCAGCGTCAAAGTCTTGGCTTGGACATTCCTCAGGTGATATACATACATGGCCGTTATTTATTATCTATTTACTTCTTGACCGTGCAGACGGCAGCGTCAAAGTCCTGTACAGGACGTACCTTAGGTGATATACATGGCCGTTATTTATTATCTGTTTACCTCTTGACCGTGCAGACGGCAGCTTTATAGTCCTGTCTTGGACGTACTTTAGATGATATATATGGCCGTTATTTATTATATATTTACCTCTTAACCGTGTAGATGACAGCGTTATAGTCCTGTACAGGATGCACCCTAGATAATATATATGGCCGTTATTATATTATATTTACCTCTTGACCGTGAAGACGGCAGCTTCATAGTCTTGTCTTGGACGTACCTTAGATGATATACATGGCCGTTATTTATTATCTATTTACCTCTTGACCGTGAAGACGGCAGCGCCAAAGTCGTGGCTTGCAGCACCACGGGAGTCGATGAAATTTCTTCGGATGAAGTGTACAGTCTGAGGGTCAAGTTCGAGGCCGGGGGCAGACCTCTCACGGAGAACTCGGGAGTTTTTGATGAAATGTTAACTAGCAAGTCCCCCATTGCGTTCCACACCTGGACGTAACCATAGATTTTCTCAGCAATCATTAAAATGAAAATTTACCCCAATTTAATACATTTATGATTTCCTTTAAATGAAGTGAGTATCGAGTGCCGAATTATTAATTTATATCGATACTAAGTAATTCTTTATCCGATATATTCATTCAGCTAGGTTCAATAGTATCGATTTTTAGAATGCGTTGACTTAGATAAATTAAAAATTCAACCATCGATGATGTGTGCTTCAGTATCAGCTTGCAGAAACGTAGTAATTTATTAGGTATTCATAGCACAAAATATAGCAGGAATTAATTCATTATAGGCAGACTTTCCTGCCTAACTAATTAAACAATTTATTCATGAAATTCTTCTCCCGTTTCCTATATTAATAAGCTCGTGGACCCGGCAATACCGTGTCCAGAAATGTGCTAGCGAAATAAACTCGTAATAATCGGAGTACAATGTCTCACCTCCAGCTTCGTAACTGGTCTGACTTCAGATGACCTGACGAAGCCGAGTTGTCCCGGCGATGGCGCCGAAGACACGTCTTGTCCCGGCTGGACCACGTCTTGGCTCGGCTTGGCCACGTCTTGGCTCGGCTTGGTCACGACTTGGCTTGGCTTGGCCACGTCTTGTCGGCCGAACCAGCGCCGAACCGAACCGAACCAGTACAGAACCGGGCCGAACTGGTGCAGAACCGAGCCGAACCGGTGCAGAACAGGGCCGAACCAGACGTCTTGGCCCGGCTGGACCACGTCTTGTCTCGGCTTGGCACTCGTGCCGATTTCGATGGAGTTTCTTGCATCAGATTTATTGCTCTTGGCATCGTTCAGTTGGAGATCTTTGGCGGCATGAGCAAACGTCAGTTGGTTTTCAGGAGGATGGCTGAGGGAGCTGGAGTTGTAATCCGGTGTGGATGAGCTGCCCCACAGGACCTGATTGCAGGATATTTCCAGCCTGGTAGGACTTTTCACTTGCACCAGGCAGTCCTTTGGTGGCGGAGGGGGATCTAAGGATACGGATCGAGGGATGTCAACTGGAGCATTAATTCTTCGTTATTTTGTGCTATTCGTTTCTATCTGTTGTGAACGCAACATTTGCTTTAGAATAGTAGTTTAATTCCGTGGTCTTGCTGCATTTTCGCTCATTAGTCACCTGTCGGCTGCGCAGTACAGACCAAACTTTATTCAGGAACGAATTTTGGTGAGCTTAGTTCTCTTGTTTGAATATTTCTTTGCCGTTTAGAAAGCCTTGGTTATTTACTGTAATGTTTAATATTTGCGAATATAGTTTATATATTCAATGACCTTTTGTTTGTTTTAGTATGAATTTTTGTATTTGTACTGGTTTCTTTCCAGAAACCGTGTCATCTGGGATTATGAAGAAATAAAAGAAACCTGATGAACGCGTATTCAATTATTCCTGCCTTAGATAAAAGTTGCGCTGAAAAGCACTAAATAGTACAGGAAATACAGGAGTCTGCCAAATGTTTCACTCGCGGTGATGGGGTTTTAAAATTGTTGTTATTCTGAAAATTAATTTTGTGTTTAAAGATTTTCAACAAAATTTTACAATTATTTGCGCAAATCTTAATTTTAGAAATTTTTCGAGTACTAGGTGTTCAAATCCTAATGTGAAACTTGCAAACAGTTGAGAAGAATAACTTGTAATGAATTAATATAGAATTTATATCATTAATATGAATGTTTTGGTTAAAACTTTTTAACTCAGAAATTAGACTTTGTTATAAATCTTGCTCTTCCCAAATCACATTTGGGACAAAATTGGTCATTCGAAATATATGTGAAAAACAGGATCCTTAAAAACCACTTTCATATTAATAACTCTTTGGTCCCTTAAAAATCGCGAATATTATGATAAGTTTATGAGGGCTAGTATTATCATCATTCTCTTAATATTAAACCTATGAAATCAGACTTAGATTAGCGCTCAGCAGTTTCTTATATAGATAAATAAGTGAAATTTATGCAATATTCTTGATGTATAAACGGCGAAAATAGGAGAATTTACACACACAAATTGTATGCAGAACAAAATTCCATTTCATGCTGTGTGCTCGATGCTAAATTCCTAACTGAATGCTAACTGAATACAAAATACGACACAAATTTCACCGATTACTCACAAAAGTGCTGTTCAGGAATATAGTTCCTCTCCTACGACAGCTCACTGGTACGAGAGGCAAAAAAGCTGCTTCTTCTTTTACCACTCAGCGACAACAGTGAGTGGATAGATGATGACTAATTGAATAGATGGAGTTCTATTCCCCATGAATGAAGGAGTAGAAGTTCTGTCCCCTATACTCGCCGACGACAGTGAGTCAGTAGATGTTGAAAAATTTAATAGCTGGTGTTCTATTCCTAATAAGTGAATGAGTGGACGTTATACATATTTATCACAGATAGAAATCAGTGAATAGACAATGAAAAATTAAGCAAATAAAGTTTTATTCCCTATGAGCGAATGAAACGATGTTTTATTCATTACTCACCGACGACAGTGAGTGAGTACAGACACGGCACTTGGCTGTGTCCCAGCGTGTTCCTGGCGAAGCAGGCGACCTGCGAGGAGGCGGGACCAGGCAGCAGCGTTAGGGTCTTACCGGACCCCAGCGACGGGGTCTGATCGGCCAGTGGCCCGCTCCCGGTCCTTGATAAACTGTTAAAAAAATATAACTCAGTACTCACTGCAATAAGTGACAGAGTGCGCATTTTCTCGTCGACGAAAACGTGAAGTCACGGACGGACGGATGGACAGACAGACGGACGGACATGATGAGCACAATAGGGCATTTTTTCCATAAATGAGAAAAACCGCTAAAAAACCAAATGGCCGCCTCATAATCAAAACTTGTCTAGTTGCATGTATATAGCGGCCTATATTCACGTGTAGAGGCCAATGCACAAGTAGTGGCTTGAATACACGTTTAGCCAAGTGCCTAATAGACGATAGGTTATTAACCCAAAACATTTGTAATGGTATTTATATAATAGAGGCAGCTTCGGTGTGGTTGTAGATAACAGCGACTGTTTTGAAAAAGTAAAGATATGAAGTCATAAAAGTAGTTATATAATTCCATAATTTTCTGATTAGAAAATTATCGTGAAGTCTGGTGCCGCAGTTATAAAGAAGTTTTAAAGTGAGGTGAAAATGGTATTGCACGTGGTCACAAAAAAAAACATTTCCACATGATAAAAGAAATTAAATGGACGTGGAGCTGGGTTTTCAATAAGCTATTATTTTCAACCTGATGCTTAAGCTGCTTTGTTTTGTTTAAATCCCATGAACGAAACCAAGTCAAGGATATCCAGACACTCTATCGCATGGCCTACTACAGAACCTTCATAACCAAATGAGAAAAATTATATTTCATTATTTTTACAATAACTTCTAACAAAACTGTGGCTAAGAACATATAAACCCATCAGAAGCAAATCTTACACAATTAGAATTCACATGTGTATAGTAGGGCACACAACCGATTACACGTTCATATAAATATGAAGTGGAAATTATGTTCAGGTTTCCAGTGTTATAGAAGGTAAGAAGAAAAACCTAATGGCAGACGGAAGTGATTTCAACGATGAGTGTGTTGAATTTAGATTTTGTTTTGTATAGGGGTATTAAATAGTCAATAATTTATTTATGCGCTAGTTAAGAAAACTAATGGAGAAAAATAATTTTAAAAAAAATATTAAGGCGATCGTCCCATGACTTCTCACAGGAAAACTTAATGAAGGACTCTCTGGGCTGCAGTGTAAAGGATTAAATTTTTGTGAAAGAAATCTCGACAAAACATTGAACATTAACTGATATATTGATCATGGAAATATTGAACATAAATAATGAGAGTTATTCCAACCTTACTGCTTAATCATATCGATGGCAACTACCCAGGACGAGAGTGAGTTAAGATTCATTTACCTAATACGTTATTTAAATTTTTGGAGGATGCTATTCCCAGTTAAAAGCCTGTGATTTCCATATTGCATAATTTAATCGTAATCCTGAGCGTTAACCTGGCAAAAAATAAATGTACATGCACCTACACAATCTAAAAGTCAGTTGAGCATAAATCAAACAAATATTTTCTACAATAATTCGTTATTTCTTGCTAATGACCTAGCATTCAGTAAATAATATTATTCATGGAGGTTTGACGAGAACCTTTACTCGCGCTCGCAACAGATGGCGCGCCTGAGATTAAGGGTTCGCCACAAGATTAAGGGTCCGCCACAAGATTAAGGGTCCGCCACAAGATTAAGGGTTCACCACAAGATTAAGGGTTCGCCACAAGATTAATCTTAAGGTCCACCACAAGATTAAGGGCTCGCCACAAGATTAATCTTAAGGTCCACCACAAGATTAAGGGCTCGCCACAAGATTAAGGGTCCGTCACAAGATTAAGGGTTCGCCACAAGATGTCTCTCTTGTATAATTAAGTCATTTCACCCCCGCTGGAGAGTGTATACAGCGCCGGCAATGCGCTTACACCGCAGGAAGGATATTACAACATTTAATTTCAAAGCTAAATGGCTTTAGATATCTCATCAAAATCTAGATGGCTTTGAATATCTTATTAAAACATAGTGCAGAGAGAAACCCTATAGTGTTATAATAGTTTTTATCATGGGGAACATAAGCGATATACCTGAATTTCTAGTCACTGGACATAGATTATTCAGGATTAAACTGAATTCCCATGTTATACGCGAAATTCAGAACATAAAATAAAATATTACTCATTTGCCTTGTTGAATTGAATTTTCTGGATTATGAATTGGATGTTATGAATGAAATGAATATAATTTTCAAATTGATATTAATTTCGCACGACCTAACATTATAGTAGCAGGCCCCTTTAAACAGTACTCTCTCGAATATAAGAACGATGTTATTGAGTATATATAACATATAATATAAAATAAGTAAGTATAGTAAATATAATGAAAATAATTCACCTAGGTACAGTAATGTCTGCTATATGAGAACGATGTTATTTAGTAAATATAACACATAATATATAATAAGTGAGTATAGTAAATATAATGAATATAATTCACCTTGGTACAGCACTCCCTGCTATATGAGAACGATAATATTGAGTAAATATAGCAAATAATATAAAATAAGTAAGTATGGTAAATATAATGAAAATTAGTATAGTAAATGTAAAGAATTATAATTCACGTCCAACCTTGGGTCTGACGAGTCCCCGTAGACCCATCCGTCACTGCAGTACGGCCGGTCTGCAGACCACGGGGGACATGTGACATGTTTATTAGTGGCCGTCACTGCAGTACGGCCGGTCTGCAGACCACGGGGGACATGTGGCATGTTTATTAGTGACCGTCACTGCAGTACGGCCGGTCTGCAGACCACGGGGGACAAGTGGCATGTTTATTAGTGGCCGTCACTGCAGTACGGCCGGTCTGCAGACAAAGGGGGGACATGTGTGGGGTTCATTAGTGATTATTTTATACAAATTTTGATAACTAGTGAAAATTTTATAAAAATTTCGATTTGTATAGGTTCGATAATTTCTTTGTTAGCGATGATATTGTTTT